ATTCAATTGCACAACCACAGTACCATAGAAGATTTGAAGTCTCCACTCTAAATGCCTATAAATTGAATTTAACGTTACATTGCAAATGATGTTTAATTGAATAGCATAGGTGGTCTGCAGGGGTCGAAATGAAAAGAGTTAAGTTTTATAGGTTTTAATTTGACCTAACTTGGCTTAATCTAACTTATTTACCTAATGTAAAATATTTTTTAAGATTAACATAAAATTTTCTAAATTAATAGAACTTAATTTTTTTATTTTTCATTTAAAATTTTTTAAAGAAAAATAATTATTACATAAGTCTTTTCTTTCTTTCTTTTTTCAAAAAATTAACTTTCAAATAAAGGATAAGATTATCATAAGCATTGTTCTTGTAGAAATGAAAATGAGACATCACAGTATAGAGGGATCGTAAGACAACTATAATACAAGCCCCACATTAGCACCGCAGGACATTGTTACTTGTTATAAGCATCCAAATAAGTCACAGTTGATTTATCGTTTCCTTTATTTCCACCACGGTAAATCAATAATATGGAGCCACAAATTGCACTTAATTTGTTCCTTATTTCTCATTAAATTCCTCATCGTAAAAAGTTTAAGGGCGGATTTATTTTATAAAATTATGTATATTTGCACTTAATTTTCTTACATGAAAATACAATTTATTTAAAAAATTTACTATTATAATTATTTATGCCGATAAGGTTTAGTATAATTTATAAATAGTTGAGATTCTTTAACATACTAAGAGAGAAAATGATCCCTTTGTGTTCAAAGATTGTCAAGGCTATATTTAATAAAACAAATTAAAAATTTCAAGCTTCTAACTTCTAGCTATAAAAATACTGAAAAATATAGAGAATTTATAATTGAAAGTTTATAATTGTATAAGTAGTTTATAAATTAAAATTACTTAACAAAATAAATGTATAACTAACTGATTTATATTAAATGATTTAAAAAAAAACATGTAATATAATATTAAAATTAGATATTACTAATTTTATTTATTTAATATCAATCAATTAATTAAATAATTATATAGCAAAATAAAATTCTTTTTCATATAAATTTTAACATGAAATATTCTAAACTATATTTTTTTTAATATAAAATACATTTGGATAAAAGAAATAAAAAAAACAAATAGAAAAAATAGAAAAAAGAATGAGACTATTGAAAAGGTGAAAAAAATAAAAAGACAATAAAATTAATATATAATAAAAAATATAAATATAATAAAATATTAATAATAAATTTTTAAAATCTAAAAAAATATTATATGACTTTTAAAAAATTAACTTTTAAAAGTTACAAACCCTTTTAATCTTGTATTTTTCAGACAACTCTGCAAACAAATTAATAAATTCCAAGGTACTAAATAAACTCCAAACTATTTTTACTAAATATATCCTAAAGATATTCCCGGTGCATTCAAAGCGATTCAATTATGCTGAGGTTCTTACCTAATTTCTGCATCTGCCAGTATACCTACCACAACAAACTTCAGTAAGTCAAAGAATCAAATAGAAAACTTCTTATTAAGGTGATAAATGGAATTTCTGCATTCCTGCAAGCCAGAAAAAAAAAATTAAAATGTATAAAGTTGACTAAAGAATCAGCCATATTTTTTTGTTAATAAGTCTTTTCGTAACAATAATCTCAATCATATTAGTATCATTGTCAAAAATCAATTGATGTAACTGTTTTTAGTCTAGTTATTGATAGAAAACAAATGGTAAGCCATCACCATCAAGATGTCAAAGACTAGTTACCCTACTACGGATACAGAGTCTTGAACCACACAAAGAGGAGCATTATCCCCAACTAGTGCCCAAATTCGAAGTTGAGAACAGCTTCAATTATTGAACCAACAATATCTACACATATAACCGTAGAATAGGAATTATTCTTGTCAAGAAGTTAGGGAGATAATAAGATTTCAAGAAATATAGCTGTAGATTGCACTGCACTAATATTTGTTGTGATCTAGAATTAGATAACCACAATGAGTGGGCATTTGATCCTTCAACGTAAATATTACTCCAACCTGCTCCACACGATCAGTATTCTCTTCTTTGATACCTTTTCATTATGGAAAACAGGTCCCCACCATTAATTCTACCTTTTCTCTCTCCAACGTTATCTACTGATATAAGCATTGTGAATACATGGCTAAGCTAATTCTGGGTAATTTGAATGGTCATAAATCAGGAGAAAGATTCCTCTCTTAACCTTCGGTTTTGTTAAGTTGACTCCATACTCATGCGGTTTAAACCATGCTGACAAAATATACAATCTGTTGAAGGGGGTGTCTTAGGTTAGTTCAAGTCACCAATCACAACACTTAGGTGAGACAAAGCTAACAACTATTAGTTGTTTTCACTTTATTATTTCATTAATGTACTTCATTATAAAATAGCTACATTCATCGAAAGAGGAATTTTTTAACCTTCTGTCCTTTGCTGTATATTTGAAGAACTGAAGACAAAATCATCAGTTAAAAAACTATATTTGCATGATTTTCAGCAAGCTTAGCGAGTGAATTTTGAAAAACAATGTCTAATCTAAATGATTTTTCTGGATCCTAAATTAAAATAGTGGAGATTCATGTTGCCATATTCGTTTATAAGTATCAGTTCACCTGCAAGGTGCAGCCTAGAACTGCTTTTGACTCCAACATAGTTCATGACAGAATTGTTATAGGACAAATGTTTCATTGAATTTTAATTGCTGAACAAGGTATCTTGATTATGGATCAAGACTTTTGAATATATGTACATCATAACATGACCATTATCCTTCCTTTGATCCTTCTGGAAGGATTTAGACAAAGCAGAGACAACTAAAGTACTAAAAACGTATTAGGCTAAATCATTTAATTATTTATAGTAATGAAGTATCAATTGAGTTGTCCCCATGAAAGATTCAAAACACGCTGGCACTATGCAACAAATACAAAGCAATTAATTACATAGATAATTGAGCTATGTTATAGAAAGGGTTACATATAAATAATATAACTCAAGTGAAAATGATAACGTCGTCGTATATGCCCCATTACGTGTAGAATGCAGACAGAGTATGATAACATGATAAGTGCAGAGCACGTTATTAGCATGTAAACAGAAGCACGTAAAGATATCACGCGTTGATGACTATTATAGAACTAAATGTGTATGTAACAAAATTTCTCACAAGATAGGATGGCATAGTTTTAGATGAAGTAATCACAAATTTTGTAATTGAATGAAGTAGGGACATACAAAAACGTGCCATGTCCCATTTATAAAAATGTATACCACACTGACCCATTGACACGTTTTGTTCATCTTACCAACCCCATAAAATCATAATCCAAATGCGTGTACGCATTTGGAAAATGGAAAGGAATGGCTGGCAAAGAATGAATCACGCGATGCTTAGAATGTTGAAATGGAGAATACCAAAAGATAAAAAGTGACATGGACGGCGTGCTGAGACAAGTGCTAAAGCACAAGTTAATAATCAATGTGTGGTTTCTTGAATCGTGAAAATCACAGGGGAAAAGACGGAGAGGGAAATTGCATGGATTATGTGAGTAAAAATATTCCTTAACGAAAAAAGAGCGAAAACAGAGGGAAAGGAAGGTGCACGTGTACTCATCAGTGTTTGGAATCAATTTTTGGGAATTGATTTTTATTTTTATAAATTATTTATTTGGAAAATTATAAGATAGTTTTAAATTTATATTAAAATATATATTTTTAATCTTAAAAATTCATTTAATAATTGTTTATTTTCTTTTAAGATATAATCATTTAAATATACAGTTGATTTTTTAGTTCATTCCTTTATACAGCTTTTTGACTAAAATTGGTATAAAATAATAATATTTTTTCAAAAATTTACTTTACCTCATTAAATATCTAGTTATGTGCAATTTAGACTTAACATTCAAGAATATGCAATATAACGCTCTATACTTTTAAAAGTATGTTAAAAAAACCTCTTCCATTACTCAATTGTCAAATTTTTCTATTTTTTGAACAAAAATATTTTTAAATTTTTAAATTTTTTCTCTCTCTGGATTGACAAACATTTTAAAGTATTTTTATTAAAAAAATAAAAAAAAATTAAACGGCTAAATAACATAAGAACTTTTTAGAGCTTTTTTGCACACCTTAAAAAAATATAGAGTATTGCTTTCACACTTTCAAAAGTTATGGTATAAATTACACATGACCAACTATATAGATGATAAAATAGACTTTTCTCTTTTGAATATAGTGTAAATCTAAAGCATTTTACTAGAATAGAGAATATAAACATTAACCGTACTCTGCAACAAGTTAATTTGATATGTGTCACTATCTCACAAATTTACACGTGGCACGTTCATATAAGTTGAGTAATACTCTCTTAACAATAGACACATGTCATGTCTTCGAAGAAAATATTAAGTTTACAATTGTTATTCTGCATTATTAATTATTTTATGAACATATTTATATTTTTTATTTTGAAATTTTGAAAGTTCTTATTGATTGTCATGTATGTATATTTATAGTGTAAGTAAGATGTTTATTTAATTATATTTAGTTAAGATATATTATTTTTGTCGTTGGTTAATTTATTTAAACAAGTCAAATTATTATAATTGTATATTTAAATGGTAAATTTTTTTAAGGAACAGAAGGTTTAATGTATGAAAGAAATAAGAAAATGATATAAATAAAACGTTTGAATTAATGCTATAAACAATACATGCAGGTTTGAATTAATTTATTTTAATAAAACTGTTAGAAAAAATGAATTATTTAAAAAAAATGTCATACATGGCCGAATTTAGTAACTAGAATAGAGTTAAATAAATTAATACTTAAATTTCCAATCTTTGTAATGTAAACTTTTACCGTACTTTCGTATAATAGAACAAGATTGTATAGCTAATAAATAGTAAGAGATAAAGTCTATTTCGATCATTTTTACGTGTTGAAAAAAGAAATCTTTAATTACTAATTAAGATATTTTCGTGATATACTAAAAAAAATAAAAGAGCTGTATTGAAGGAATGAAAATGAAAATGAAAATCTAACCTGATAGATTTTGTCTTCAACCCTTCATATTACAATTTCTTGATTAAAAGGAAACGCTTCGATGGCCAATAAAGACCTTAAAAAATAAACTTAAAACATATTACATCCCTTTCCAATCTTGTTCTTTCAAGATGCATGTGACATTTCTCAAAGATTACAAAGGATAAGGAAAATGATCACGTGCTAAAAGGGCCCCCAATAACTATAACTTGATTAGGTTCTTTTCTTAAGTAACTTCCAATGACCAAAAGCATCCCAAAGTTAGACACACACATATATATGTAGTTCTTTTGGCCATCGAAATTTTTTTATATAGCAGCTTTGAAGTTTTTGGGTCTTAGTCTTCTCCCTTTAGATATCCAACCCAACTAATCTCTGGGATTCACATGGTTAGAAGCTGTCTTTTCCTTGAGCTCTTTTGCAAGCACATCTATGGAATCTGAAACTTCAACCCTATATACATAGAACCTTGAAACAAAGGCGAAGAGGATGAGGTTCAGGAAGTTTAGTACTGCAAAAAATGCATAGTAGTAATCAAGATGAGACTCGTTCAGATTGTTCAAAATCCACCCCTTGTGACCATGTTCCGCGGTGAGGTGTGACACTGTTGAGAGAAGAAAGGAACTAATGAAATTACCAATGCCTAAGGTAGTTGAGGAATATGAAGTGCCAAGGCTCTTCATATGTTCTGGCGCTTGATCGTAGAAAAACTCAATTTTGGCAACCTCTAAGAATGCATCAGCTGTTCCCATTAGTATAAACTGAGGAAGCAAAATGAATATGCTCAAAGGAACTTGTCCTCCACTTTCAACTACCCCGTGTTCTCTGGCCACTTTAAGTCTATAGCTTTCAGTCCCAGATGCAATGATCATAATCACAGTGTGGATTACAAGGCCAATTCCCATTCTCTGAAGGAGGGTAATGCCTCTGGGATTCTTTGTAAACCTTTGCATTATCTTGACAAAGAAACGGTCATAGAGCACAACACAGATAAGCAAGGACACAGTAACAAATGCAGCCAAACTTGCTGGGGGGATTTTGAAGCTTCCGACGTGTCTGTTAAGAGTAGTTCCTTGCTTTACAAAAAGGGTATTTATCTGAGCCATCATTGTACTTGGAACAAATGTAGCAACCAAGATTGGAATCATCCTTAGCATTTGTTTTGTCTCCTCTACTTGAGTAACAGTGCATAGCATCCATGGACTGTTATTTGAATCTGTTCTGACACAGGCCTTATCAAGGAACCTGCACATGTATGTTTTTTATTAAGCACGTGGCAATTGCATTGTAAAATTAAGCTCATGATCAAGTGGAAGAGAAAGTATGATAGAATTTTATACCTCAATGTTGGAGTAGAATGAATTCTGTAACTCCCTTTCTTTACATACTCTTCCGCATCAAGCTCATATAGTTCTTTTGTGTCACGAGGAACTGGCACTTGCCATTTCCTCAAAGCAGCCACTATGACCCTAGCCATTCTAGTGAAGGTACTCCCTGCAGGCACCTTGTGCCTATAGAAGGGTGTGCCTGCCAAGAATATCATGATTGATACCAAAAGCCCAAGAGTTGGAAGAGCATACCCAAGAGTCCAGCCCACATTATCTTGGATATACACTAGAACAGTGTTTGCAAAGAGTGTCCCAAAGAAGATACTGAACATCCACCAATTGAAGAAGGAGAGCTTATGTTTCTTCTCTTTAGGATGAAAATCATCAAATTGGTCAGCTCCTATAGTGGAGATGTTGGGCTTGGTTCCTCCAGTTCCCACTGCTAGAGTATAAAGTGCACCATAGAAAACAGCTAGCTGTAGTGTGGAGGCTTTCTCACATTTTGTCACATCCACTTCAAAGCATTGAGGTGGCTTTAGGCTGGGAAGGGACACTGCCAGTGTAAGCAGAGACATACCCTGCCATTGCCAATGCCAGCACAGATGAAACAATCAAACACCACCAAAGAATTAACACAACAATTTAAACAGTATGCATAACCACTGATTTCTTGGGCAAAAAGTTACCGTACATATTAAGATTTCAGAAGTAACAAAACCAACTTTAATGGGTCTAACTAAATCCTCCTACAATATCTTCCTGGTCCTACTAATCCCCCTACGTACTAAATATTGAACGTTTTTATATTTTTAAGATATTAAATATATTTAATAAAAAATGAATGCTTATTTTATATGATATTAAAAGCATTAATACGAAAATCTCTTTGAAGGATACAATACTAAAAGAAGAAAATTAGGGAGGAAAACTCAACCAAAACCCGGGGACTACTGACAGGATTGACTTTGACCTAGATAACTATATAATACACACATTCGTATCCCCTGGAACCCCCTCCCCCCAAAGCAATGTTACAAACAACTGATCAAAATTAATTAGTTGTATTATTTGTATAGATTTTTATGTGTATCCGAATATATGTTTGATTTTATTGAATACTTGAAAAAGCCTAAGATTAGAATAAAAATTATTTTATAATTACTTAATCTTGTTTTTCTATTTTTAAAAATATTTTTTCTTTTTAAAAATAAAAATAAAACAAAATTTGTTTATTGACATAAGTTTTATTTTCATATTCTTCTTAAAAAATATATTTTTAAAAATATTTTGAAATATAATTCTAAAAAATAAAAAACTAAAACAGAAACAAACAAGCCCTAGTATTAAATATACAGTAGAGGTGGATGAAAACAGGTGTCCAGTTTTGCACTTCATATTTTATTATCCATCTTTTGCGCAAAAATATTTAGATTAGATTTTGCAATTCAACTTGCAAATTTGTTTTTGTTGTGCCTAAACTCACTAGCCCCACAAACCCAACACGTCCCTGTCTTGATATATAGTGTTAGACTTAGTGGTATTTATAATTTCACTCACACTGCACGTAGGAACAAAGACATGCAAGCCTACATCGGGGGCCTTACGAACCATACTTTAGTAGCATGCACACACAGCCATGAAAATAGCGGTCCAGTTGCTTCACTAGTATGAAAAGAATACAACATGCTTTGGACCAAACTAGACTGTGACTTTGACACTTTCCTACTACCTTCCATGTATTTTTCTTCGACAACACTGCCCTGAGGTCAAATTTTAATACTTTGCCAATATTTATATCAACATGTTCCATCTAAATTTCGTTATCGATATACTTTAACAAAAAGAGTGTAAAAAAAACTTCAATTTCCATCTATTAATAAATAATTTAATTGCAACAACAGCTAGTTAATGCATCAAACATTTTATTACGATATATCACTAAATTATTAGATAATAATATAAAAAATTATGCTAATAATAAATTAAAATAAAATTTGTGAAAAAAATTATATTAAAAAGTAATATAATTATAAAGATATATGTTAAATTATTAATATAAATTTATATTAGTAGTATGATATATATAGATAATACATATTCTCTGCTGATAAAATTATTTATTATAGTATATTGTATTATATTATTAATATATGATATTTTCTTATGTACAAATTTAGTTTTAAGAAATTTGGCTGTTTATCCCTAGTATTTAATAGACTTTAAATACTTAATGCTAAATTAAATATTCATAAAGAATAATTGTAAATCTCTTATCTTATATGTCTACAAATCCTCTTAATTATTTATATAATTGTAAAGATAAAAAAAACATATACACACTTTTTTATTTAATAATTACTTTATAGAATAATAAAAAAATATTTAAAAGATATATAAAAGGGATATAGCAAAATTCATCATTAAATAGTTAAATACTACTTTACAGCTCATTAAATATCATACTCACAAAAATATTATACCAACTCTCATTATTCATTCGTCCTCAAAAGTCTAAGTTCCATATGGCTGGTTGTGCTTGAAGATTCTCTTTGTTTGTCTGGTATTACTTAATCGAACGCGTGAATTAGTGTATTATTGGGCCACGGATAGCTACTCTCCACTTATCCTAGTAGCTATATTACAGTCAAAAAGGTTAAGATTCAGACCTCTTTGTATTTTAGTTCACAAAAGGTGGCACACTTCTCATACAAAATTAATGGCTGAAATTTATAGATGCACTTTTTCCAATGTCATTGGACGAATACGAATTTTTTTTTCTCTTTGGACAAAGCTCCGTTTGCAACTAGAGAATATTAATACAATAGGAGCTTTCTTTGATCCATAAAGTTGATAAGTGCTAGCCTACCATCGTTCAATTGGCTGGTTGTTTCGTGACAGATTTTTTATGCAGATTAATCAGCAAGCGACATGTAATATATGATACCAAAGCATAGTTTTAATTAATCTGTATGTAGATTATATCATGCGATCCGTCTAAGAACTGTTCTTATTAATTTATAAATTAGATTCTATGTATAACCATAAAAAGAAACTTTAAAAGAAAAATAAAAAGGGAAAAGTTTGCAGACATATTAATTATATGAAATAAACTTACAATCATTATGAATCTTAGTTAAAGTCATAATAATTATTATGTACCCTTTAGCAATCAAATTAATAGAATCAAAATTAAGGTCAAAATATGCGGGCTTAGAAGATTGAGATCAAATCTAAATCTTTATAATCTTTTTAGGGTACACGCAGCAAAGTTCTTGGGCGTGTTGTCCCCTTCCTCACATTTCAAAGTTTCTAACAAGTGGGAGTGGAGAGTTGAAATGTAGTGACAATTCTATTGAGACCTATTAGATTTGTCAAAGGCGGTTACAGTCTTAGAGAGCGTGGTTTGACTTCAATTAATCATTTTAGGATTACAATTTGAAAACTTAACTCCTACTCTGCTTCACATTCACACTTCGGAAATAAATTGAATTAGATATAATATTATTTGTGTAAATGTAAGGTATACTTGTCGTGACACCGAAAATTAACTTCAAACATGTACCTGTCCCAGTCCCACCCTGCTGCGTGTTATTAAGGTTAAGTTTGTCAAGCCTAAGGGCCTGTCTAGACATTCTAGATGTTTTCATGTCGTGATTAAAGAATTCAATGACTGGATTCAATTATTTGTGACATATTATTAAAAATTTAATTATGCTAATAATAATAAAAAATTGTTAATCTAAATATTTAGAGATGAGTTTAAGAAAACTTACCGAAAGATAAATGGTGGAGGCAATGACAAAAGTCCAATAGCGGCCAAGGCAAGCGTCTGCAACATATGCGCCTAAAATGGGTGTGATCCAAATGGTGCCAACCCAATTGGTGACGTTGTTTGAAGAGGATACTGTGCCTTGGTGAAGCTTCTTTGTCAGATAAAGGATCAAATTTGATGATATCCCATAATAAGCCATTCTTTCGAATATTTCATATACTGCATCCACGTATTCAACCAAACCAATTCATAGGTCAGTTAGGTTTCTACATATTTCAAACTTAGAGGATTGAAGCTTCTAGGTGTTGATTTTGGCATGGCACTACCATATTTACTTCCTTTTTTTTGGTATGTATGTTGCGCGTAATCTAAGTTTTAATCAGCATTTGTTATTGGTGTCTTTATTTTTGGTAAATGAAATTACCTGTAATTCAATAAAAGAGGAGACACGTGGCCTCATGAAATATCAAACTACTTGCGTAATCTTAAGAATTAGTATAGTAACAATCGAATTAGAAGTGTGTTAAGCTTGCCAATGGTTTGTTTTTAAAAGCATTCCATCAGTTAATTAGAAATTTGGAACAAAACATTCATTATCGTTTAACAACAACAACAACAATAATAATAATAATAAGCGTTTCTTTTAATATTATTGGAGTAACATTTTGTTTGCTTTTATAAAAATTGAATATGCATCTCATCAAACTGGAGAAGGTTAGTACAGAAGCTTTTTGTTTTTTCCTTCAAATGACACCTAAACAATTTAATAAAAAAATATATCACAATTTCTTAAGCTAAGTCTACATAGCACTAGCTTTTAGGAATCTATTAGCCGTGAGAAAAACATTTCGTCCCCACTTCAGTATGAATTTAATTAAAATATATTTATATAATATAAAAAAATTATACTATCGTCCAATTTTAAATTACTTTATTAATAAAAAATCATTAATTGTTATAATATTCAATTTAAAAGTTATATTCACATCATATTTTAATTAATTGATTCAATTAAAAATTTTACATCGAAATTACGTTAAAACTAAACTACTTTTTAATTTATATTATATTTTATTTCAAAACCTTATCCAAAGTTACTAAAACTAGAAAAATTATTAAATAAATATAAAATATGATGTGAACATTTTAAAATCCATTATAAGCCTAGGGAAAGGCTATCATCGATATCCATGCATTAAAAACCCAAAAGTACGGTAAAAATTAACTAATAAATCCAGGAAGAAAATTTTTATTCGATCAACTCTTTTTATAATTATTTATTCAAAGAGAGATGAATAAAAAATTATGAAATAAAATAATAATACGATGGGGGTGGGATAAAGAAAGAAAGAAATTATAAAATTGTGTTATAAAAATATGCATACAAATAGTATAACTTATTCAAAAAGCAGTCTACGCCTACATGAACATGTTCACCTTTAACTCCTTCAGAATATTATATATTGGTTAGGTGTTTACTGTAAACTCATTCTTTTTTTTTTATTCCGTTGAAGTATTAACATATTATTTAATAGAGCTAACATACAATTAGGTTCTTGAAAGTAATAACTTATATTGTATTAGTTTCAAAAAAATTTCACCAATACAAATAAATCTTTTAAAAAATAAAGTTATTTAGAAGTTATTAGTTTTATAGTATAAACTTAATAACAAGTTCACTTCGGGGACCAATTTGCAGGAAAAAAAAAAAAAAAACACTATCATTTTTAATGATGAAATTGTTTATTAGCCCAAAGTAGTATGATGGAGAACATAGTATTTGTTTCGTAGGAATTGATTATATGTGAATATTTATGGACTTAGTTCATTTAAATTAAATAGCTACACAAAATGCATACGAGAATCCCTCACTATGCATGGGTAACATCACCAGGCCAAAAAAAGTATAATGCTGATGGAACAAGGGTGATCTAATGATTAAAAAACAACATTTGCTATGAATAAAATAAATATAAGAGAGAAGTGAGATAAATAGGAAGAAAAAAGAAGTGTGCCAGCAACTCCTTTTTCTATGATGCGAGCGAAACAAAATAAGATATTTATGCAAGGACTTAAGCTGCTAGTGGCAACATCACTATGCTGCCCACCTAAGCAAAACCCCAATTTGTCCTCTGAAACTACGAAATCTACTCCTAAGTTACGTAATGCCAAGTGCTGGAAGAGGGTGGAAAATGGAACAAGAAATAAAAGAAAATATTATTCTCACCAACATCTTGACGTTGCAGAGAACTGTGGAATAAAGTATAATGGAGCAGAGAGCTAGTTTAGAAAATTTTAAAACATTCACAGATCAAAATATTTATCGGTTTTGTTAATTAAACTCTTAAAATTCAGTTTAAGCATTTATAAATAAATTTTTTTATAAAATATAAAAATACAATAAATACTTCATTTTTAATAAAAATTTTAACAAAACCCAGTATCTATCTTAAAAAATTGCATAAGTTTACTGGGCGTGTTTGCAAGCGCACGAAAATATTTTGGACTTACTATAATTGCTTACAGCCTTTTAATATTGACGAACTTAGGAATAAGCTCAAGTTGGTCGAGTGGTGTGGAGACAAGTATTTGCGAAAAAAATTTAAATAATCCTAATTTATTTTCGAGTTAAGGTTAGTTTGTTTCAAGTCAATCAAAGATCCCTTACACAATATCTATCACTTCAACGTGATACTCAAGATGTAAAAGGTATATTTTTTCACGAGATTCTAAAGATGAAAATGTAAAACAAAAAAATTGAGTTGGGCTAAACTCCGTTCACAGTCACGCTGGGAAAAGGGGCAAGAACAATTAAGCATAAAAAAATCCTAAGAAGTCTTGAGTCGATCACAATCTAGGGGACAATGAGAAATTAAGAAGTGCGTTTAGTAAAAAGGTAGAAGAAGGAGAGGGGCCTAAATATCAAGTGAGATATTGGTTGCGTTTATTAGGAGCATTCCTTCGACTTCCACGTTTGAGAGAATAACTTTTTGGTTAAAGATGAAAATGACCACAAATGTAAAAAGAGAGAGGGGTTACCAACAACGAAGGAGCAAGCTTTCCAACCACCACTTTTGGATCTAAGAATAGGTTTCCCTTTAAGAGTCACAGTTCCATCTTGTGTGAACTCCTCATTCGCTACCCTTCCTTCTTCCATAGTCATCTTTAACTTCAGCTTAATCAACACTACAAACCTCTCTCTCCTCTCTCTACTCTTTTACTCTTTGCTCTTTCCTCCCTTGGATGGAAACGAAGAGTGTAAGTTAAGAAGGGTTTTCTTGGTTGAAGAGGAAAATGAAAGTACTCTATTTGCTAATGCTATTGTGCTCTCTCCTTCGATGAAACTACACAGAATTTATAGACCTCACTGATCACTCTATGGTCTGTGGATACACATAACTTGACGTGGGCCCGCGTGACCATTACCATTTTGTCATAGCCTTTGCTTTTCACTGCTCGTATTGTCCTTTTTATATTTTTTTAAATAATTTATGTATTTAGTACAGAATAATTCAAGGCATGGCATAAAAAATTTATTAAATTAGCTGATAAAATTTTATTTAGAACCTAAAAAAAGACAATAAAAACAATTATCCCTATCCTTTCATTTTCTCAATTCTATTCTGCCCAAAATAACTGGAAGCACAACACAAAAGGTATGATCATAATTTTCTATGCGTATCAATTCGTGAACAACACAAATTTTTAATCCTGCCCATTAATCATTTAACAACCAACAGCACAGAAAATTATTCTGTGATTTAATTGCATGCGCTGTATTCAAATCCGGCCCAGACATAAAAAAAGTAACTTGAAGCTTCTAAAAATTATGCACAGAAAAGTCTAAAAATTATTGTTAATTATTAATTAACACATAGACTATATTAAAAATTTATTTTTAAAAAAATAAATTCATCATCTTATTATATCACTTTTATTTATTGACTACTTTGGTTTTTTTAGTCCAATGCTAAAAATTATTAGGTGATCCTAAATTTAAAGAGCCTATAAATTGCCTTGCTCCCTATATTTTATAAGGTTAAAAAAAAGAAGAAGAAAGAAACACGTGTCCTTACATCTAATTTTAAAGGTGTAAATGAAACTTTTCCTATACTCTAAAAATATTAACCAACAAAATGTATATTTTCGAGACTTTAAATAAAGTTTTATATTTTGAAGACTAATAAGATTTGAAACTTTTTAAGAACTAGTCCACGGTATGAATGACATACGTGGACCTGATTTCAAAGTGCTACATGATTATGCCTATTATGTACCGATTTTCATTATGATAATAGCTAATTTTAAAATCATACTTTTTATTTTCGAAATAAATATTTTTTGTACATATTTTAAAAACTAATTATTACTTGTATAGAAAACTCAATAAATATTACTTATTTTTATTTTTATCTTTGTTTTTTAGTATTTATTAGATAAAATGTGAAAAATATTAATGAAGCAATATTATTTCAATAGACAACATTTTAGCAAGATATAAATCATAATTTTATTTATTAAATTATATTTTATAATTATAAATAAAATTTAAATATTGATTACTTTAAATTATAGTTTATATATAAAGATAAAGGAGCTAGCACTAGAGCCCTGGCAGGTTGGCAGCCCATAACACAATTTTCTGTTGTCAACTGCAATCATACTGATAGATACACCCTTTCTCTGGGTTGTGTCTGATTTACATTTTTAATATATTGACTACTGATTTTTGTAAATGAATCTTTGATGATGTCAACGATGGCTATGAGTAACGCAAACATCACAGATATATAGCGCCTTGATATCTTCAGAATTTCGTCCTAATTCTTATATAGGCAATTAATATATGCATTCAAAGTGCAGTTTAATATGTAAAATATAATTTTTCAAGTGAACTTATAATTGAAAAGTATTCATTTTCTTTTTAGCAGATCTCGGATTCAGGTTAAAAAAAAAAACACTTGAGAATTTTATTTTGCTTTGAATGAGTTCATATGATTCACATTAATTTGAGTTTAAAATGACTTTAAAAGATTAAGATGGTGTTTGTGCAAAGTATATAATTATATTTCTAATGATGAATGCTATCAAGTATCAAGTAATACACCATAGAGACACAGGATATACGAGATTACGTATTAAATTCATAAAAAAAAAATTATTAACTTAACCGTTAATTTAGGTAATATTATCATAATATATATACAAATAAAAACTAAAAAAGCTCCTTTTTTTTATAAAATTATAATAAAGCTATCTAGCAATGATTCAATGAAAGTTATATTAAAAACAACATGGGTTGCTTGTAACGCCCCTTTTCAAAAACTATTTGGGTAATTTATGAAGCGAATTTTAAGTACGTTTTTAAGTTAACTTTTTAAGAAATATTTTTTAAAAATTTTCATAAGTAATTCTAAAAGGTATTAATTTTTATAAACAAACAATAGTTGAACATGAGATAAAATAGTTTTTGAGTTTGAAGATTTTGCAAAAGTCTTGTCTAATTATTTTAAATTTTTTAGATTTATTCTAAAAAATCTTTTATTAATGTTTTTAAAGAAAAAATTATATATTAATAAATTTCTACACAATAAACAATTTTTTTTTTCTTTTTTATGGCAAAAAGGTCATGAAGCTTTAGACTTTGAGCATGCAGATTCTTTTTTTTTTTTTTGACTTTCTTTATCGTTTCTCTGTTTTTCTTGGAACCTATGATGAAAACAAACACATTTGATGGTTTAAATCTCATCCAGGAGAATCTGCAAATCAAAATAGAAAATTTGGTATCAGAAGAAATTTCCACAAAAACATTAACTATAAAATACTGATAAGTATCTTATATATTATTTGAGTATTTTTAAAATTTTATGTTAAGTATCTACAAATTAAAGCTAAAAAATATATGTATACTTGAGTTAGGTAAAGATATTTAAAATTTTTAAAAATATATGTATAGTTAATTTTAAACAATTAAAATATTATAAATATTTTTAAAAAAATAGTATATTAAAATAAATCATTCTTAAAATACATAACTTTAATAATATAAGAAAAATAGATAATGAGGCATTTTGAAAGTTAATCCAACTGAATCCCTGTCAGAGTACTCGTTAAGCCCACCGAATTGTATGGTACAAACTCATTTAGAAAATTAAGCACAAGTTGTATTTTGTTTTGTAGTTTGAATTAATTATTAATTATATATTTTTTTTATCAACTAATTATTACTATTATAATATTTTTAAACCACAAGCAGAGAGATTGTTAGTAAAACTCTTCTTTAAATATCTATATAATTAAAGTTATGAAAAAATAGAAACATTATAAATTGTACATTAATAACTCATGTCTTTCGTTACTCTTATTATTTTATTATTTCACGAATTATGAAAATGAAATCGTAATTTTTTTTAAAAGAATAGACAATTATACATATAATTTTACTTTAAATTTTATCTTTTAAAAAAATTGCATCAAGAATGGTGCGTATAGGCTGACATAATCATGCTCAGAAATTGTAGGTGAAACTGGCTATAATTCATGGTAAGTTTATGGTCGTCGCTCTTTTTCAAATATTTTTATTTATGAATTAAATTAATAATAACATTTAAATAAAATAAAATAAAATTAGATGTAGCAATAAGTATACAGGAATAACAATAGACACTATCCAATTCAATATAATCTAGGAATACCTTGATAATAACATAAGTTTAACTTTAAAATTTTGTATTCCAACTTGATCTGTTCAGTTTTTTGTTTTTTTTTTACAATTTTCATTTTTTAAAAATTTATTTTAAATTTTAAAGGTTAGAGTTTAATTTTAGTGTGCAAATTTTTTTTAAAAAAATTACACTGTGAACTAATTAAAATATTCATGAATATAATATTTATATTATTTATTATAAAAATAAATTATTATTGTTAAATATGATAATCTCTGATTAGGTGATTGTATAAAAAAAAAGCATGTTACAAATTTGTTTAAAATAAAAATTTTCGTTGAACAATTTTAATTAAAAAATTGACGGGTAGAACTTTCAAAAAGTTGCAAGCAATGTAGAAAGTGCAAACCAAACCAATCTGATCGAAAATCAATTGAAACCATAAAAAGAAAAGGCAGTGTTTCTCTTACACGTTGTCTGGGTACAAATAAGATGCAAAATATGTGGTCCTTGGTCAGCAGATAAAAAAAATTCTTCATTATCTTTCAATCACAATACAAATACAAGCTAGCTTATAATATAAGTCTTATTCACACTGAATTTATTATTGTTCAAATCAGCATGTTCAATAAGCAGATTTTTAATTTAAAAAATTTAAAATCTTAATTTAAAATTCTATTTTTCGTATGAATCTTTTAAAAAATATTTGCAAAAACTGACAATTTTTAAGAAAAAAATTTGTTTCACTGTAAAAAATATTTGACAGATCGTAATTAAAATAAAATAAAATATATTGTATCCTTTATAATTAAAAGGTTTTTTTACATATAAAATAATTGTTACTATTAATTTTATATTAATATATAATAGAGTTAGTAGTTTAGTTAAAAATTATGTTAATATTAATTTATAATTATTAATCTAAAAAATATATAAAATACTCTCTCAAAATTATAGATACAGTAAAAAATAATTATCAAGATGGAAAAGTTCTTTTAAAGATATTTTTGAAAACCTTTTAAACACCATTTTCATTGATAACTTTTACCCAAATTATTTCACTCAGCAACCTGTTATAAATGTTAAAATTCATCAATACCTTGAATAATATGATATTAACTTATTAATTATGCACATTTAGTTTTAAACAAAATCAAATATTTGTAAACATATAAATTTAGATATATTGTATATTAAAATAATTTTTTTAATGAAGTATTAAAAATTTTAATTATATAATTTTAAAAAAATTAATCTATTTATATTAAATTTTTGTTTTAATAGTTAGATTGATGAAATTTTTTATTTATAAAAGAATTATTAAAAAAATAATTTTAATAATACTTACAGAAGAATTTGACTCTTCTCATCAACATACATAGAAACAAAATCAACATTCTCTACAAAAAAATAATAATAATTTATTCTAGTTAATACATTTTTATGAAAATTAAATATAACTAATTTATTTATTAATCTAAGAGTTTTAAATAAATACATCTAAGTCGGAAAGATTTTTTAGAATATTTATTACTTCCTCAAATAATTTTATTTTAAAAAATAATATTTTTTAAAATATAAATATATATTTGTTATAATATTATATATGATAAATGATAACCATAAATATCATTAGAAATATTGGATTGAAAAAGAGAAAAGTTT